AATTTCTACTTCGGATCACTGCTTTTTTCTGTAGAAAAGAAGTTTGCTTGCTGGTCAAACCTATTTTTGTAAGAAGTTCCTCTGGCAGTAGCAGTTAAGACTTGGTTAGATTGAAGGAAGGGCAAATTGGAAATAAAGCTTGCATTTATGGTCAGGTCTGATATCATTTGACCAGTTTTTACCGATAGGTAATTGTTGATGGCAAGGTTAGGATTGTTGAACTTTGACGATCGACAAACATCTTTTGTTTGACATTTTTTATGGCATTTTTGCTATTAAATTCTTTAACCTTAATCATTTTTTCCAGCAGATTATTAGTAATAAAATTTTTATGGCTGCTAAAGTAACGGCGAAGGGCCATGAGTTAGGATTTTTGTAATCTTTTTTTGTAGTTTTTTTATAACCTTTTGCAGTTATAAGCAAGGTTGTTTGGAGTGGTGATTATTTGGCAAACTGGCTAGGTCGAGATCTTTAAATGCAGTCTCCTTAGTCGAGACTAGCTTTGGAACCTGACTGATGAAATTGGGCATTGATCTAGCAAATCTGATGGAACTTGTTTACTTTTATGACATTTTTTTTGTGTTGAAAGAGTATTTAGTAAAGTTTTATTACTCCGTAAGCCTTCGACATTTTTTTAGATGGGAATGCTGGGCGATAAAGAGGTGACATTGTTTTGGTTTTTCTGCATACATATTTGCCTTAGTTTTTTTTCTGAATTGGCATAACAAGGCAGTTTTTGTACTACTGCACATTTAGTAAAATATGCCATTATGGTTATTTCACTGCTGTTTTTCATTTTTTCATTTTGGTTGTTGTTGATTTTGGACGTGGAATGACTGCCATAAAAAAAGCAGAAGGCATTGTAATGTTGTATTGTTCCGAACATTGTTTATTGGAAAGAGGGTGAATGTTGCATAAGATTTGATTTCCCTAAAAAAAAGAACGTCTGCTTGTGGAGGAAAAAGGAGAAAAAAATGAGAAGGAAAAACTGGTTCTTGATAAAGGAATAATTTTTCTTCTGTTTTAGAACCTAACAATAGATCTGGTTAGGCAGGAAAAACAAATAGTTAGTTTTAGAAGTAATGTCTTAGCTATTATCATTTGCAGATTTTTGTTTCAATCTTTTGTAGGAAGTTGGTTTAATGATTTTTAAGATTGAAGATTTTTTTTAAAAACTGCAACTTTTTGTTCAGTAGTCTAGTCACATGTACGCCATCGATGATTGAAGTGAGGATTTAATAGTTTTTGGAACATTTAATGAGCTGCTTCTTTTGCTTGGCAACTAATGATTGTGCTCCAGCAGTGAAAAAATGATTGGATGACTAAACTGTCTTTTTTTTTTCTCCCCTTCCCCTCCTTCCCCCGCTCCTACCCTATTTGGCTGTATTTGCACCGTTTTTGGCTTACTGCAGTTTAACAGAGTAATGGGTTGTGTAACATTAATAAGTGGTAAAATATCCACAAAATAACAGTTATAATTGGGTTGGTCAGGGAAAGTTAACATATGCGCCAGGGTTGTTTAGGGGTTTGCGAAGATTATTTTTGCACAGTGAAATGAGCAAAAAGAATAAGAGAGGAAGGAGATTAGAAATGCAGCGTCGAAAGGACCGGCTAATATCGTTTAAGTAGTATAGAAAAGAAGAAAGTTATGTGATCATATGAGAAAATTTTGTTTTTGTTTGACATTGCTGGCAATAAGAGTCGAAAGCTACAAAATATTGTTCAAATTTTACATTTGTTGCTTTTATACGGGGAAGCAAGTGTAACTATTAGTAGAATTTTTTTAAAAAGATGATGACAATGATGAATTTTGAAGAATTTGCAACACATCAGTGAGTGAATAAAAACACTTAAACGATCAAACAAACATCTTCAGTTATTTAGTGATTTTTAACTGAAAATTTTTATTGTTGTTGTTGTTGTGGTTGAAATTGTATTACCATTTTCAATTATCAAGAAAAAAATCTTTTCCGGAAATTTTTATGACAACAGCGAAACAGATTTGTTTTTTTTTCTTTTCAGGTTGTAGAGTTTACCTATGTAACTTGGCTAGTTTACATTCTTTTCCTATTTCTGCAGTGTTGTTTACGCTTTTGACAAATTTGCTTTTCAAGAGGTTTGAGAGCTTACAGCAATATTTTGGAGCAAATGAGATTCGTGAATGGGAAACTAATGCATGTACAAATTGTTAGTCTTATGGGGTTCAAAAAAAAAAAAAAAAAAAAAAAAAAAAA